ATTTAAATATATAGTTTGTTGTTACACGCGAACAACCATTGTTGGCTTACATTGTGCTTTTTAATTGATAAATTATTTATTATTATTAATTAATTCTTTATTACTTATTTCATTGGAGACTTTATCTTATACAATAGTTATACATTTTTAAAGATTTTTTTATCGAATATTTTCAAAAAATGCAGGTATTTTATAGATATAAAAAATTTAACAATGTTATGATATTTTAATCATTGTTGGCGAAATAATGCGTCAGAATATGTTTTTTGCTCAAAAAAACTAAATAATCGAGAGAAACGCACGATTTAAATGAATGATTGTCAAAGCGTTAATCCAACAACACTATTATTAATTGTATTCGATCAACGTGAGATAAATAGTTCGTTTTTTCGTAATCGTGACCATTTAAGTTTCCATTTTTTTCTAATTTATTAACATTGACAGTTATTCATTTTGTGACATGAACACTTTTTACATTTCATTTTTTTTAATTATTTTTGAGAATTACAATACAAATCATTTTAATTACCAATAAATAATAAAAATAACATAAATCTTATACAAATTCCTTAATGAAAAAATTACATGCGTGTGATTTATAATTTATATATCGCTATTTATCGATTGTTTTAAAAATAAAATCTGTTTTACGAAGTAAATCAGTTATTACGGAACTATAATTGTGAGTAGTGATATATCGTTAATCAATCTGTACTACTTGAACGATCGAAAGTGTAAAATAGACTTTACTTTTCTTTTTGAAAACCATTTTTCTTGTCTATTACGAAATACACAAATATTATGGACTATTTGCATTATGCAAACACTTCTCACTACTTGTTCCTTACTTATCGCGATTTTGTATTAATTATATTTCATGAAATTGAATAAAAACAATAAAAATATGTCATAAAAATTAAAAATATTTACAGGAATAAAACGATACTTTCTAAATTCCGACTAACAATTCTCTTTCATTTATCTGTTTCGTTGTTATTAGTGTGCAATTTATGTACAGTATTTCACATATTAATTGCACTTATAATATCTATAATAATATAGCTCATATTCAGGCAAGTATCTCGAGTGTTCTACATTCAGTATGAATGATAAGCTATCCTTGAGCTTGCTTTAGGATATTATTAAAAAAACCTATCTTCTTACACGTATATGTAGTTCTTTCATTAACGATGGTCATTCTAACTGATAACATTAAATGTATGCACAAATATATGTTTATTCTTAAAGAAAACTTTAAAGTTACCGTTAAAATATTTATATGAAGTGTAATTAATAAAATATAATAAATGATTTTACTAAGACCGTAATGTGAATATACAACAAGTAAAAATGTTAAAGCCTATGACGGCCGAAGCTAGATCTTTAATGCTTAAATAATTCAAATGTAAATTATATATATACTATATATGTACATGCATATATACCATATTTATAGTCATTCGAACTGCGCGCCGAATTGGTTTTCCGGACTTATAAACGCAATTAAACTACTGGAATAATATCACAAATTAAATTGAATTGACAAGCAAATTTTAATAGTTTTGATGTTCAATCCGGTATCATATCAGAAGGATGTTAATGTGCTGAAAAATTGTAAATAAATTTATAAAATCTATTTACAGTTTTGTAGCACAAATAAGTTTATAAAATATAATTTACACATACAACGGAGTCGATATAGAATTATTTAACTAATCAGAAGATGACTTTGTTGTACTGTGAAATTTACGAAGCAAAGTTTGTACTTTGAGAAGGGTAAGATTTTCATTATATTTCTCTTATATTGTATAACGAAGAATCATTTAAGAAACAAATAAAAATTGTCTTTGATATACAGGGTATCCCATTTTAAATAACGCATTAAGATTTCTTGAAAACAATGGTAGATACGGAAAAATGTTTCAAACAAAAGTTATCGTTAAAATATTTGGAGACTATTCTTCTTATTTTCATTTTTCCACTAAAAATTCATTTTTATGTAAAAATGAAAACAACAGGAATAATCTCCAACGGCCTTGATCTTGACAAATGTTATCCAGGACATGATCCTGAACAACATTCAAGAGATTTTAGCCGTCGGTCGAATAACTTGCGTAATGCTAATGCCGGCTGTAACTTTCGGGCCTTCCCTTACAGCACAAAGTTGTAGTAACACTGCTGCAATATTGCAGCAATATTGCATACTACAACAATATTGCAGAGATTTTGCAGCGATATTGCTGCAAATTCTGTGCTGTATGGATTATAACTCGAAAAATACTTAATGAAAAAATATTTTATTATAGTGTTTTGAAAAGCTCTCGAGGTAAGTTACAAGAGTATGTAATGAAAAATAGGGAGTTCCGTTTAAAAAAATCGATGTGACCTTGATCTGACCTTAAGGACGCCACCCAAGGTTAAATCAATAGTATCTTCTTATGTCCCCCTCCGTACCATACAACTTTTGTTTGAAACATTTTTCCGTATCTGCCATAGTTTTCGAGAAATCTTAATGCATTATTTAAAATGGGATACCCTATAAAGACACAGATGCAGGTGATTGTATTCTTCAGAATAGCATGTGAACAATTAATCTAAACAAAATATTTCTTTGTGTGTTCTAGTATCCACATATGTTTAATATCTATATTTAAACACATTAAACGATGTAATAAGTGTTATGCTCTGTAAAAAAAAACAAATCGAAGGCTAATAATGTTCGAAGTCGATCTTCTGTAAAAAAATAAGTGATTGATGATAGAAATGGCTGGTTCTCCTAAAAGCATACTTTGGGAGATAAAACTTGCTAAACTGGCTTCTTGGCTGCGATGGTATTTATAATGAAACATGACAAATCTCTCTCTCTCTCTCTCTCTCCCCCCTACCATCTTCTTTCCTCCTTTCCTCTCGCCCCTCTTCCCCCTCCCACTTTTTATTTCTTTCTCCCTTTCTGTTTCCTCCAGATCCATTCGCCATCGTTCTCTCTTTCTTCTCTCTCCCTTCTCACCAACACTGTTAGAGCTCATTATCTAGGCCAACAGTTGCAGGTATTATTCACACGATGCCGAGTATTTCTAAAACAAACTCGAATCCGAAGCGATAAATAAACGGGCCGTATTTAATGTTATCGTTTGAAGATCTCATAAAACATCTCTCTGTCACAATTATGACAAGAAGAAGATATTTTCTTTAGCCTTTTGTTTCCTTCTTCACTTAAGATTTTTCTGACTGGAAATATTATTAGTACTACCTTAACAGATTTTTTCTTTTAATTTATTCAAAGTCAATAATATATATATATAAATTGAATATTCTTCTTTTATAATTATATTTTACCAGATTAAATTTCTATTGTATCGTCGATACTGAATAAGTCTCTCCATGAAAATGATATAAATTTATAATGATTAAAATTTATATAAAACATATGTGTCAAATTTGTAATGCTCTTTTCAATTATTTGTCCTAATTGAATATTAAATCTTTCCACAATCTCTTTATAAAGAGCTTATCTGTTTATATGTACATGTATACATATACATGTATATTATAGACTGCGTTTTATTTGGAACTGCACTTTAGCATTTTCAGCGCTTCCATCCTTGTTTTACATCAAACGAATAATAAAGATAGAATGATGATTATAAACGCTTAAAGCGTATGAAAGTTCAAATCGAACACAGCTACAGAATAATTTTTATTTACCTATCTATGTTATCTATCTTGCTTTGCAATGAATTATGTTCATGGTATAAGAATTTCTCTTCATGCTATTGGTAATCTTGTTTTGCACAAAACTCAAACATCTATTAATTACAAAGAGTTTAAATTAAATGATTCTTTATCACAGATGCGACAAAAATTGAATTTCTATCAATTGCAAAATTCATCTTAAATTGCTAACGCTTTAAGTCAATACCTAATAAATCGACGATATCGATACATATTGTATGTTCTCATCAAGTTTTATATATGGCTGAAATAAAATTTTTTTTTTTAATATATTTATAAACTTGCGGTAAATATAAATAAAGAGTATCTATACTTGTAAATTGTAGTATAAACGGACTATATGCCTTACAATATACTAGTAATATCGAAACACATTTGCTCTTGTACTTTGAAACTTAATGGCTGTGTTTACACACTCCTCGAACACATGTTGGCTTAATCGACGTAAACGATCACGTTACTAGCAGGTATTCAAATCGAAGACTTTTCACGAAAGTCACGCCACAGTACGACATGTTGTGGAGTAGCCATACACGGGGGGTACAAATATTAACAATAATTCGTAACATTGCATAAGCTAATGGGTTTCTTTGCCCTTTCTTTAAAATCTAGATCCACATTCCAACTATCGTATGCTTCGCTTGTCGATTATCCGAGCTGAGCATAAGTCTATATACTTAATAAACATAGAAATTGAAAAGCGATTTTTAAATTTGGGACAAACTGCTTTATGTGACGCGTGATACAATCCCCTCATTACGATATGGTTTTTTATCGTTAAACAATAAACGGAACCTGTCCCTCTCCTCATCATTTCGTCTTTTCTTTTCGTTGCTTCACGTACATTCAATTATCGCAACTCAAAGTTGGCTTCGCGTTACGTAAAATCACAACGTTAATAAGCGGAGCATTTAGTCTGTAGATGGAAAACGTGCTATTCAAAGAGATTACAAACAGCCATCTGCCTCACCCTTTCGAGGCGCTCGCCCTGTTAGCCCCTCTGCAACTACCCTATGTACTCCCTTCCTCTTCCACCACTGCTAGATACCTCTCAGTCAGCTACCATATATTCTCGCAGTCTCGCTTATAGAATTCTTTTCCTCTCCTTCCCCCTCCGCGCCGTGCCGCGCCGCGCCGCACCGCGCCGCACCGCACCGCACCGCATGCCGTGTAATCTCACCAACCAACACACGCGTAGTATATAGTACTGTCCTCCCCTATCGCGGTACCCCACCATCGCCTCCCATTGCAGCAAACCAATATACCCGGAATCACATTGCCGCGTCGACCACCGCGAGGAGTGTTCGTTGCCTGCCACGCTCAACCACGCTGTCGTTCATCGTTTTCGGAACGCGTTATTATACAAATGAAACGTATCGTAGTTGAAAAGGTGTCGCACCGCGTGCTCCTATTACCCTAACCTCGCGCTCTCTTCGCTGTCTGTTGCTCCGTGGTGAGTGATTTATTCGCAAAGTGTAGTGATCGTGTATATTCGTGTGAAGCGAGTGTCAACAAAGGGATTCTAATTGCGCGGGTACACTAATTCTCAAGTGTTTCTCTAATCGCATTCTTCACGATTCGATCGTAGATTGATGTAGCGAGCGTACGTACAGAGTTACGCTTTGTATATTGCATGCTGGATTTTGTGCCGGTAAGTGATCGAAATGTTATTACGTTTACTTTAATCGATGCAATTAGCATTATAGAAGAATTTAGAACAATCTAGAGTGAACAATGTTAAGGGAGAGTAAGGAATCGCGTGTGTGTTGTACATATAAACGTATTTTGTAGCAAATAGCTCGTTACGGTACATGGCGCCATCTCGAGAATCAATGTGAAGTACGAGGGCGTGGAATTTCCCGAGTACCCACGGGACGGTTTCGTAATGTAACGTTCTCTCTTTCTTTTCCATTTTTATTCTTTTTTAATGTTTTTCCTATCAATTATCGATCAAAGTTTATTTCCTCGTCTTCTGCAACGTGGTAAATATCGACACAACTCAACGATTGAATTGTAATAATACGACCGATTCTCTCTCTTCCTTTCTCTTTCTGCATCGTTTCTTTCAAATAAGTCATGATCGTGATTATTTTTTAATGATATATACATGGAAAATATAAATTCCCCACGAGTTCGCATTCCATAACATATTATATTTCACATATACGACAGAATAATTAACTAACAACGAGTCACTCGATCAATCGTTTATCCATCGTAAATCTTTATCAGGTAAATTTAACTTAGACGTGTTTATATCGGATCTTTTTGTTGTGTAAACAAAAGCACACATTTAACTCGTATAAAATATACGTAAGCGTATCAAATATACGCTTTATACTCAAGGCGAACACAGTGAATTAACCGTACCAGCGATTGCAGCCAATAGCGATTACATCATTGATCATGAGATTGCGCAGAGTACTAATTTTTAATAGCAGATAATAATAGTCATCGAGGAGGTGGGCCGTGAATGATTCATAATCTATTTTCATTAATTAAGGTCGAGATTAAGACGAAATGAGGACTAGACATACTCGAAGTAACATATCTCGCACGTTATATATTCGCTACGAAACAAGTGTACATGATGATGAGACTATCTCAATCTCGTAAAAAATCCTTTGTCTTTTTATACACTGAATCGCTGATTGACAGTGGTTTATTTAATTAGTGTAACTTAAGGTTGCTATCTTACTGTTACATATAATAAACATTTGGAAAATCCTTGTAGCGGTATAAATTACAATGCAATGCTGACGCAAATTAAACTCGCACATTCTGTACTATTCTAATGAATTGCATCGAAACAAATGCACTATTTTGTTGCATCATCGAGAACGTACTCGTACGCATACAATGATAAAATAAATTTTCATCTTGCACGCACATAACGCGTAAATCGATCTAGTTCCAACTTTCAAGTAATTTCATATATGCGCGAAAAAATTAGTTTCTATATTAAAAGTTATCTCAACCATCCATTATTTACTTTTATTTTCTAAGTCACATTCATTTTCGTATATATATATATATATATAATATTTTTAAAATGTAATATTATAATTCTTTTTTGAAATAAAATTTACTGTTTTTTTAATTCATTCACTATTTTAAGTTTTATCTAGAAACGATAGGAATAATCTCACAGACTTTAAAAAATGAAAATGATGGTGCTACATTATATTGTAACAAGATCAAAACGAGAGTAATTTTGAACTCTCCGACAAAAAAATTTGTGGTCGCTCTCTTATATTTGCGGTTCCCAGTCGAAAATATCCGTTTTATATACGTTTTTATTTTTTGAAATTGAATTCAAATCATTATCGAAATGTCACTTTTATTGACGTTTTATTGATTTTATTGCATATTTTATTAAATAAGTGCATGTATGTACATATATGTTCTGTGTTCTAGTCAGAGGTTGTAAGTACTGCTGGTACAAATATTGTTACAAATTTAATATTAAGTATCAATAAAATCAATAAAAGACATTTCGATAGTGATTTGATTTCGTCTTGAAGACCCCTGCAACATTATGGAAAGAAATTGTATGGTGCTATTTAAAAATTTTAAGATGACTTTGATTTTTTATGAAAATATTTAAAAAAATTTTTTTATCGCATGTTGTAGCCTATATAAAACAAATAATTATTCACCTTTCAACTTTTTTTTTATTATTAATAACTATCGAAAGTGTTTAAAAAATCATGCGGATCATTATATTGAACACCCTGTATATATCTTTCATATATATATATATATATATAAAATATACATACCACATACATATTAATGAGATTAATATTTGTAATGGAAAAAAATTAATAAGCAATTATTAAATTAAAAATAGGTTAAATTTTTTTATCAAAAACGAAATGATTTTGCTGTCGCACCGATAGTCTTTTCTTAACTAAATTCGAATTTGAATCGACGGTCAACTTTTTAAATTCCTGAATTTGTTACGTTATATTCCTTCCTTAAATCTCTCCTTAAGTAAAATCGCCGTGTTGTAAAACCCTAAAGTTGGCCGCTAATCGCGATCACATTGTTGTCTGTCGCTTTGTTCCGTACGTCATTGGTCCTTTCGTTCGTGAATCGCATATCGCACTGGTGTCGTATGACGCATTTCGTGTCGGAAAAAAATAATCGTGACGGAAGATCAATTAACTGACGCGTGTGTGAGGTTAGCGCACGTTATTATCACTGCAATACATATTAAGTGCTGTGTTTCCTCCTCCCATAATAAAATTGGGATGTTAAATCGATAGTCGAATTCATTGTTGCCCCTTTTCCGCGATGCGGATTGGTTGTCTGGAGCTCGATCTTATCGCGTGCGTAACTTCGTGTCGTGAGCGTGTGTCGTGTCGATTTGATTCTCTCGTTGCGCTCACTTCGTGAGCAGCTGTCATCGCGGAGATCGCGCTTTAAACGGTTATGTGTATCGAAAGTTAACTGTAATCGATTAATAAATGTTATATGCATATTTGTATATATATATATATAATATTAAAAGCTCTGTAGCGCGCGCGAAGCGCGCGCCTGTTATGTCTAGTGCGCCTAAAATTTTTAGATTGATAAATATTCATCGACGATATATGCTTGCTTGTTTAATGTTTCTGAGGAAAAATAGCAATTTTAAATAGCACATTTTTTATGTATGGTGTTGTTTAGCGTCTCGTTGATTATTTCATTATGTGACATTTATCGTTGCATAAAAGACTACCATCGAAGAGGGTATCCATTCTATGATGGATATTTCGAGAAAAATATGGTTCTATCGTTCTAAACATTATACATCGCATAGTCATTACTCGACAGATACATGTTTTGCATACTCCAATGATGAAAAATATCCAATATAATGGTAAATAAATGATTATGTTTCAGATATTATTTTGAAAAGTTATAAAATATTTGTATCGATAATATCAAACGTTAACAGAAATTTAACGAATTGAATAAATTAAAAATTAACTGGAATAACTTTAACTTTAATAGGAATATGTAAGAATTGAGAAGCTAATATGATAAGCTTTTACACGACAACACTTATTTTCTAGATTAACTGTTTATTTCTTAAATGTTGTTTACTTTTTATTGCAGATCGTACATTTAAATCTTTGAAATCCGAATTCAAATCACGGCTGAGGTAATATCTTTCGCTAATACTTACAGCTTTTAAAATGCTTATTAGTATTAAATAATTACCTAATATTCTTCTAAGATGTTTATTAAGATATTACCGAATTGCTTGTGATATTATACAGGGTGTCCCACGGGAAGGTGTTGAAACTAATCAGCTGTCATTTTCGAAGGTATTCAGTTATTGAAAAAACTAAAATTGCTGAAAAGAGGAAAGTCTGCAATTTTTAATGAGTATAAATAAAGTTTAACAAAATGTTTGTGTATCAATTAATTTTATTGATGAAAAATATACTAAAATCAAGTAAACGCTAAGATTAATATTTAAGTTCGCAGATAAGATCGGAAAACAGTTTCAGATTTAATAGCAGTTATTATCAGCAGTTATAATCCCGCCTAGAAATAATACATTTTTGACAACGTTCGTACAGCTTGTGGAAATTCTGTAAAAAAATTATCTTTGGATATCACCCTTACGTCACATGGTACTGAATCTGATTTGAAATGCTTATAAATCGAGTCTCTTTCATTGCTTCCTTTAGTTTAGGCAACAAGAAAATGTTTGCTAGAGCAAAGTCGGGGGAGTAAGGAGAGTGATTCAAAATAATAAAGTAATGCTGACTCAAGAATTGCATGTTTTGAATCAGGACTTTAGATAGAGTCATAATTAAGTCATAATGATATTATAGGACGTTATCATATAATATTATTGACTTCTGAGTTCTACTTGAGATTGTGTGACAATGAGACTTACGACCAAAGGCAAGTTGTACGAACATTGTCAGAAATATATATTGTCTCTAGAGGGGATTACTTTGAAAAACAGTAAAAATCATTTGTATGTAAATTAAGTGGTGTTTATTTTCTCATAACATTCACATTCACCGAACTTTATTGCCATATTACGTATATAAATTCATAATGAAATATAAGCTCTAAAATCCGCTTTGACCAAAAATAAGATTATTTCTCTTAATTAAGTTATTTTCGTCAGTCTAATTCTGAATTATAATTAAATCCTTAGGTATCTCATATACCATAAATGTGAAATTAATAATACGATATCTTGTTTTCCTCTTTGAGAGCAAAAAATTCTTATTTTGAAATTGCGCTGTGCAAGAATTTTTTGCTCTCAAAGAGGAAAACAAGATATCGTATTATTAATTTCACATTTATGGTATATGAGATACCTAAGGATTTAATTATAATTCAGAATTAGACTGACGAAAATAACTTAATTAAGAGAAATAATGCAAACACAAATAGTGTTGTGCTTAGATAACAAAAAATTATATAGATAAAGTTAAATTATACGTAATAAATTACACATTGAAAGAAAAATGTCAAAGTATTGCAAAGCAAATGGTACTTACGACACCCCTATGAAGCTAGCTCCCCATTTTTTAAAAAATCAAATTTATTTTAGAGTTCTGAATAGATTTTCGATAGTTCCAGAGTTCTTGACGTATTTTAGTTCTGTTCGAGAAACTAAAAATAAACACGATT